GTGCATGTTGGACTCCGACAGGGCTGCCCTCTGTCACCGGTCCTGTTCATAACTTTTATGGACAGGATTTCTAGGCGCAGCCAAGGAAAGGAGGGGGTCTGGTTCGGGGACCAGCGGATCTCGTCCCTGCTTTATGTGGATGACGTAGTTCTGCTGGCTCCCTCCTGCCAAGTCCTACATCGTGCGCTGGGGCGGTTCGCAGCCGAGTGTGAAGCGGCCGGGATAAGAATCAGCTCCTCCAAGTCCGAGGCCATGGTTCTCCACAGGAAAAAGGTGGCTTGTCCCCTTCAGGTTGGAGGAGAGTCCCTGCCTCAAGTGGAGGAGTTCTTGGGGTCCTGTTGACGAGTGAGGGAAGAATGGAGCGGGAGATCGATAGACGGATCGGTGCGGCTGCTGCAACAATGCGGACGCTGCACCGGTCTGTCATATAAAAAGGTGATTACATAATAAAGCTGAAAAAATAATGTCATTATTATAAAGGTGAATAAAGAAAGAAGTAAATAAATAAATGCAACTTGATTTCCTTTCTGCTGGCATCTAATTATCTGATGTATTTTATTGCTTTAATCATTATTTGTATTTCTGTATTTGTTTAATTATGTCAGAGTTGGTCCTCCGTAGCTCTGAGGCTGTAGTAGCAGTGTGACCTGATGGGGGCGCTACAGGAACAGACTCTGATCTGCAGTGTGAACTCATGTTTGTCCGCTCGCTGCAGAATCCTCTGGGTCTGCTGGGAATTCAGTGATGATGAGGAGGCAGCTGTGAGCTCATCTTCATCATCCTCTCTGTGTCTCAGGTCATCCTGGACAACCTGATGCTGAACCCCGTGTCCCAGCTGTCGCACGCCATCCGGGAGAACACGGAGCAGCTGGCCGAGAAGATGAAGTAAGGAGGCGCTCAGGGAGACTTAGCAGCGCTGGGATGAAATGTCTTTAATGGAGGGGAGGTGGGAGGAGCTGCTGGTTTAACCGGCTCTCTGGTTTCAGGGTTCTGTTCCAGAGCAAAGCAGACGTCTGGGAGGAGATCGAAGCCAAGATCAACACCGAGTACGAAGTCCCCATCGTGAAAACCTCCAACAAGGTAGTCTGCAGCCTGATCCTCTGAGTAGAAGAGCATCCAGAGGCCCAGACCTTCTCATGTGAACCTTCATTTCTGCAGGAGATCACCTCCATTTTGAAGGAGCTGAGGAGAGTCCAGCGGCAGCTGGAAGGTATGAAGGCACCGCCGTCCTGTTGGTGATCACATGTAGCGCCCAGCAGCCCACCTGCTGCTGTGGGTGACTCTAAGGAAACACCTGGGTGGGAAACCTGCAGACCAGGATGGGGAATAAAATCCCTTCAGACATAAAAGCTTGGAGAAATATTCCCAGTCATCCCGGTCAGAGTCGTTCCTAAAAAGTTCAAATCAATCCTCTGAACTTTGTTTCCAAGTCTGAAGACGTTTCTCTTCCATCCAGGAAGATTTTTCAATCCAA